TCTTTCTAAGGCAGGAAATCTGCAAAGCTTTAGAAATCACAGCAGACCTCTTGTAGCTTCTTTTTCTCCACATACAGATGCCCAGACAGGCAAAAATTTGCTCCCAAGTGCATTCTTAACTAGTTTTGTTGAATTTAGCTATTGTCAGTGCAGAATAGTGTTAAAAATATGATCTCAGTTCAAGTTTACCATGTGTTGAAAAATGTTATATTAGGAGGAATCTGTCACACATTTGGAAGGAGAGCTATTAGTCACTTTGCAATGAGCACCCTTGAATTTTGAGTGTGATTTCGATATATTTCACATTATATGAGCTAAACTATAAATAGAAAATAGCAAAACATAAATGTCTTAAGAGTTTTACAATTCTTAAGGGCTGTTTTATGTGCCATGGGTAGGGATAATGATGCTGTTTAATGAAGTAATTTTATAACCTTGGGAAGACAGAGCCTCATGCCTCCTGTCATCTGTCACACACCATCTCCCTGGCACTGGGCCTCAAAGTCACATGGACCCACTGTCTTCATGGAGTCCTTGCTGATGGGAGATCATCTGGGTAAAACCACCTTATCACTCAAGGTCATTTTCTTTCCAGAAGCTCAGACTTGAGAATTAGTGTCAGCCCTCCATATTCACAGGTTTTGCTTCCTCAGATTCAACCAACTGCAGATTGAATTTTGCAGACTGACTGAATCTGCAGATATGGAACCACGGATGTGCAGGGCCGACTGAACTACAAATAAGAAACCTGTGGTCTGGGTACCCACGGGCTCCCAGAAACAACCCCCATGGATGACTGTACTATCATCAAGGTCAAAGCAGTTATAATCCACTCTTTTACCTTGAAGTCCATGGCCATCCCAGGAAGAGGATGCTACCTCAAATATGTTCTACACTATTTTTTCCAGATCTATTATATATAATTTGTCACCACTAGATGCTTTGTGGAAGCATCTTTATAAGAAAAGAGATGCCAAATTCATTCAATCAAGGCACATGGACCAAGTACAAGATCAAGGTGAAATTATTTTGTCTTCAATTCATTTTCAAGTCAGAGCTGTTAGAAAATAGTGTTTAAAAAAAGTTACTGTTGGAAGTTTCCTAAGTACAGATGAAAAAGAAAAATTTTCTGATTTCGAACATCCTGCAGTTATTGGGCTATTTTATAAACGTGGTCTTCGGAAAAGCATCTCAATCCAGCGGTGTCCCAAAGAAAGCCTCTCTACAGATTTCTCACTCTTCCTTCTTTGTTTCTGCAGCTGTACATCAATAGATGTAAAATTTCACTTGAGAGTTTCATGCAAGAAACCCTCAGATTTATTTGCTCTTTAGTAATATGAAATTGCAAAAGAAATTGGTTTGGCACTTAATAAGACCCTAACTCTAAAAGTTAGACTCTTGGGGGCTAAAGTTTCTTTACCAATAGTTGCACAGATTAAATATATCTAAAATAGCACCACAGTATAGGTGTGACAATGGACTATAATCTTGTGCTTTGGTAATTGTTTCTGGCATTCTTAAAATTTTCTTTGACATGGTGCTCACATTTGTTTTTTCAAAATAAAATCTACCAAGAATGTTCTCTTCTTTCTTCCCCTGTTGCTTCATAATTGTGCTAATATACTAGCTGGGGCAGTTATATTTTAAATGACATGTATATATTTAGCAGCATAATTATGCAAATTTTACCATGTTGATGATTGTAAATTTCCTTTCAGAGCAGCTACTTAGCATTTTGTCCTGGTTGAAATGCTTAGAATTCACTCCCGAATTCACTTTTCTATTGGGTGAAGGTGGGGCTTACAGTTCTTCACTTACCAGGCAGAATACTGCCTAGTGGTAAAAGGTATGGATTCTTTAACACACCTGGACATTCTATGCCACTTACTGGCTTTGTGACCTTGGGCAAGTTTCTTAACCTCTCTGAGCTCAGTTTCCGCATCTGTAAAGTAGGGATGACAATGGTATGAACCTCGCTGGGTTGTCATGATGATTACATCATATGATGTATGGAAACTACTTAACCTCGCATTTGGCCAATAAAAGATTCTTAATAAATGATAGCTACCATCAGTGTTCTTATATTATCCCCCAGCAGTACTACATTTCAGCTTAGTTATTAAGCTTTCCAAAAGAGTTTAAAACTGCCGTTGAAGAAGAGACCTGTCTAATTAACAGTGGGGTGCTGGGTGGGAGTGCTAACAGCAAAATGTCCAGACTCAATTCTTTTTTACCAAAGAAGTCATTCTTTACATACTTTTTGTCATGTGCCTGGGTTGAGTTAGTGGGGATGTTTAGGTGTTTCATTAATAGCAACTCTAAATGTACAGAGAGGAGAGAGTGTGTGTGTGTCTAGGGTTACAGGAGAAGGGAGTCTAACCTACCCACATATATACAAGCACGCCAACCCTCTGGTTCCACCCACTGGAGATAAGCTGATTAACAGGTGAGGAATCATGTAGGCAAAATGTGAGATAAAATTCCTTCTCTGCTATTTCACATTTACAAGAATGAAAAAAATTGAAAAATGTAAAACTGTATTCTAAAACTACAACTATATGTCAGAATATGGAAATGACCACGACAGTATATTTTAAGTGAACATTAATCTTATTTTAGAAAATTAATCAAATTTTCTAATACTTGTTATTTTAGAAAAATGCTAATCTGGATTTTCTAAAAGTAGCTGCTGACATGTATGTCAGACAGAAATCCATAGCATTTTCTGAGCTTCAGTAAAACAAACCTCTGAAGAAACACAGGACCTGAAAATATACTGATGCTGTGTGTGCACTAACTGACTTTAGTCATGTCCAACTCTTTGCGACCCTATAGGCTGTAGCTCGCCAGGCTCCTCTGTCCATGGGATTCTCCAGGCAAGAACACTGGAGTGGGTTGCCATGCCCCCCCCTCCAGGGGATCTTCCCAACCCCGGGATTGAACCCCAGTTTCTTATGTCTCCTGCATTGGGAGGCAGGTTCCTTACCACTAGCGCCACCTGGGAAGCCCCATACTGATGCTACTTAAGGATAAAATTCTTCAAGACTGATCGGGGGCAGCAAAGAGGCGATTCCACATAGCGGAGGGTCCTTCATGTTGGTCCCACCCATAACCCAATCCTGGGAACTGGGTTCAATGATGTCCAGTTATATACACGTGGTAACTGCATGCATGATAATGAACCAGGTGCTGAGCGAGAAGCCAGACACCATCACTGCCCAAAGTGTGCCTGGAAATCAGCAGAGTGTGGATGGCTTAATGAGATACATGGTGGAATCAAGCTCACAGTCCTCTCCTACCCTCAAGGTGGGTCAGCAGCGGGGGTGGGGGGGGTGGGAGCAGGATGGGTTCTAGCCCAGGAGATGAATAGGTTTTGTCTCCTGGAAGAAATTCTTATAACTCCAAGTCTCATCCTATCAGGGACACACACTTCCCAACCAGCCCCTCACAGCCCACCGAGGGGGATGAATTGTCCTTTCTTAGACGTACAAGGTGCAGGCTCCCTTAAGGCCCATCATGAAGAGTCCCCTCTAGTTGTGACACTGGTCTGTTCAAAGAGCCTCAGTATTTATCCCACACCTCTCAGTATTTATCCCACACACCTTTCTATGGTCACAGGAGGTGTGACCATAGGAGGTTTCCTTTGATTCTTAGGATTTAACTTCCTAAGGACTTTGGAAGAGAGAAAATGAATATTTTTTTCTGACTCTTAATTTTTCTTTGTCCTGAATAATAAAGTCAGTCACTGTTTTTGTTTTTTTTTTTCCAATTGTGTGAGAAGGTTAGAGCTTTAAAAGAAACACAAAACTTATGTTTATTCTCTTTCCATCTTCCTGAAATCTTTCTTCTGTGACCAGATTAGAGATGGCCCTTTCAGGATAAAAATCTGCCAAATAGGACAGAACTTTCTGATTTGTGTGATTAAGATAGTAAGATAGACATTTCACATTCCAGTCACAATTTTGGCCTTCTCTTTTACAAGGTTATGTAATAGTAAGTGATATGATCATTTTTGGTGAGGAGGAGGGAAGAGAGGTTCCAATAAGATACTGAGTGGCTGAATATCTGAATTGTAAATTCTCACTCCCCTTCTGAATTCCTGTATGACAACAGGTTGCATGCTTAATCTCCTTTGAACTCTATTTCTTTGCCTAGATTTTTATGACTATAATTAATATATTTATTGCCTTCCATCAACAAATCCAGGCTAGAGAAATTCTCTCTGTCAAAATCGACTTTTCTATAACTCTATAAATTTGAGGGTTTTCAAGATGTAGTATGAAGGTTCTAGGCTACTGAATTACAAAAACATGTAAATTAAAAAAGAAATTTAAATACCCAGAGTATCTTATCCACAAGAAAAACTTTGCTGATCTCAGTACCACTCCCAAATGAGTATTACACCGACACCATCCTAATTTTATGCAGATTTATGTTTTTATCACCCTGGATGACAGATAGTGACACATTCTTTTCATTTCCCCAAATCACATGAGAAAACAAAATTGCACTTCAAGAAAAAAAAACAAAACACAAACTGCCAACTTAAACAGTGGGCACTTGAACCACTCACTCCACCTTTTCAGTGGGAGATCAATAACGATCAGCTCTTGACTGGTTTCTCTGAATGGTTTCTTCTAAGCCGCTAACCAATTTTCTTCTGAATTATTCAGATATACACTAATGATGCTGCTGTTAGACCCACACGCGGGAGGCCCATTCTGACCTCTCTCGTTGGGGTGGCCTGCCTGCCTGCCTGTCTTTAGCCAGGCCACTGGCCAATGCCACTCAACCACCAGGTTTAGAAACTCTTTGCAGACAAGAACCACCTTTGATCCTACTTCCCCACACCCCCACACCCTCCACCCAGCACAGGACCCAGAGGGCACACTGCTCAAGGCTGGCACCCAGCTAACTCCTGCTCTCTCCTGCTGACTCCTGCAGAGCAGCCCCAAACCACCAGGGCACGGAGCAGCCTCCCGCCACCCTCCCCGCCTTACCTGGTCTCTCGGTCTTTGGGTATGGTAGCCGTGCTGTAAGCGAACACCTGCTTCTCAACTAGAGGAGGGCCCAGGTCCACAAGCCCGGATAATCCTGGAGTGCTCCGTGGCTTCTCAATGTACACCAAAGTGCCGGGCTCCTTCTTGAAGCCCTGGCGGCTAGGCGAGGCCCGGTCTGGCTGCAACGTGTGGGGGGGCCCGTGGGCGTTATGGTGACCGTGCATCTCCACCATCCTCAGGTCGCCGACTCGGTGAGGGGAGGCTGGGGGCGTCTTGGAGCCCAGAGTGGGCAAGTGGCTCTCTGGGTATTTCCTTGGCTTCTGTCTGTACAGTGACTGCTCCATGTGCATTTCCGCTTGCAGAGATGGGTTGCAGTAAGCACTGGCTGACCGAATTGCGGTGCGGTGATACGCGATGATGTGATCGGGGACATCCAGTGGGTGCCCGCCATGCGAAGACGCTATGCTCATCCGCCCCTCATGATAAAGGTAAGGGTCGGCATAGAAACCCTCGTTCCGGTACATGGCGAGGTTCTTGCTGCTCATGTCTTCATCTGGCTTCACATCTCTTCTTTCCAGGATGGCGCTGGGGCTGGGGGAGATGGATCTGGAGACTGGCAGGCTGGAGAGTCTGTCCCTGGGGATGGTGGCATTACCAGGAACCACCATTGGGCGGGAGCCTCCGTACGGAATTCTGGAAGGAGAGGGAGGCATGGAATGGGGCACAGGAGTGGATGGCGGAGAGTTTGGAATGGCGTAGGGTGGGAGAGCTGTGGGTCCAGGTCGAGAGGCACCAGGGCCATCTCCTCTTGCATAAACAACTTCTCTCTGCATCTAGAAAGAAAGAAAGAAGTTAGAAAATCTACTTTGATATTCATGTGTTTAGAGACGTCTCAGTGTGGCTTCCCTGATGAAACCAGCTGAAGAGTGGCTCCTGCAAGATGTCCGTGCCCCAATCCTTATATCCTGTACCCATGTTCCCTTACATGGCAAAAAGGACTTCACAGATACCCCATTAAGGATGTTGAGAGGGAGAGATTATCCAGGTGGACCCAATGAAATCACAAGGGTCCTTATCTGTGAAACAGGCAGGAGGGTCAATGTCATGGAAGGGGATGTAATGACTGAAGCAGAAAAGCAAGATGGAAAGATGCTGTCACCGAGTCCAAGCTCAAACTGCTCTCTGGATGACAGGCCAATAATCAAAAGGCGAGCTGTTGGGGCAATGGATAGAGACTTTATTCAGAAAGTCAACACATTGAGAAGATGGTGGACTCATGCCCCAAAGAACCATCTTGCCTGAGTCAGAATTCAGGCTTTCTTTTTTTTTTTTTACAGTAAAAGAGGTGGGAGTAAAGTCAGACACTTCCAGGTCCCCGTCTGCCTCCAGAGGGGAGGTGTTAATTTCTTCTTCTCTGTGGTCATTCTCTATTCCCAAGAACCTATTTCTAATAGGGAATTCTATTAGAATCCCCCACTATCACTGTCTGTTTCACAGTCCTGTGGGAAAAGGGACCAAGACCCCTTTGGCTGGTTACTTTCTGCTGAACGGAGGTGATGAATATTCCATAGTCAGTCCTTTACGGCTATCTGAACCCAATGAAACCTCTGAGCATTATGTTGTCTACTTTGTAATTGAACTTAGGGCTTTAGTTCCAGTTTTCAATACATATACTAAATTCCTGTGCTATTTATTTGGACAAAGTTAAACAAATCGGTTGACCCTTTAATAGCTACAAGGGAATTATCATCTACTTCAGTTGCATAGGTATGCCTGTTGGAGGCAAACTCATGAACAGAGGTTAGTATAGTGCCCAAAGTTTTAATATAGTTGGCCACTGCTACGTGTTTTAGCATTTATGGATTCCCCTGCCACGGCAGACAGCTGGAATGGCCTACCACACAATAGTTAAAAGGGGCCTAATTTAAGCCTGCTTCCGGGAGTTACTGATCTGCAGCAGGGCAACTGGCAAGGCCTTATTCCAAGTTCAGTTAGTCTCCTGACATTTTAGCAACTCTCCTTTTTAATGTGTGATTCATTTTCTTTTTTTCCTATTGACTGTGGTCTCCAGGATCAATGTTGTTTTAATGCCTTAAGCCCAATCAGGGCATGACTTCCCTATGGATGGCTTTAACCACCTCAGAGATTTTCTGTCCAGGAGGGATATGCTTCTACCCACACTGAGAAAGTGTCCAGGTATCTGAAATTTCTTGCAGTTTGAAGCATCTGAGAAATAGGTATTGAGTATATTTCAGTCCTCGGTGGTGCAGCTTCCTTGGCATTGAGTCCCCATCTGGGGAGGGCTGACAACAGTCGCTGGGTTATTTTTAAGACCTTGGGGGAAAGAACTCAGTCTCCTTTGCCGGGGTTTTCATGAGCACCATCTGTAGGCTTAAAGCATGTTTAGGTGAGACTCCTGATACTGAGCTTTTGTTGTTGTTTAGTGGCTCAGTCATGTCCTACTGTTTTGTGATGCTATGGACTGTAGCCAGCTAGGCTCCTCTGTTCATGGGATTTCCCAGGCCAGAATACTGGAGTGGATTGTCATTTCCTCCTCCAGGGGATCTTCCTTACTTAGAGATGGAACCTGCGTCTCCTGCATTGGCAGATAGGTTCTTTACCACTGAGCCACCAGAGAAACCTGGTGATGTCAAGCTATTCTGAAAGAAAAAAAAAAAAATTGTTTTTTTTCAGGGTGAGGTCTATCAGAAAGTCAATCAGTTTTTTGTTTTTCAGTCGCTAAGTCGTGTTTGGCTCTTTGCAACCCCGTGGACTGCAACACGCCAGGCTCCTCTGTCCACCACTGTCTCCTAGAGTTCACCTAAATTCATGTCCATTGAGTCTGTGATGCTGTCTAACCATCTCATCCTCTGCTGTCCCCTTTTCCTTTTGCCTTCAATCAGTTCATCCTCCACGTTCAATTTTACCCTGGGCTCCTGTGGGGAATTGGACACTGTAAGTCCAAGGGAGCCCCTGGGCCTCTTTATTCAGAGTGTTCCTCTCTTTCTACCATAGGAGCACCTCTTTTATTCTTCTTCTGTTTCAGCTGAGGGCAACCCATTTTCCAATGTTTCTCCTCCTTACAGTAAGTCCATCGTTTCTTCCTCAACGGTGGCTTACCTCTCTGAGTTACCTTCCAGGAATCCAATGCCAAAAAAAGGGGGAATTTTGATTTGCATCTTTTGTTCTTGCTCCCTGAACACTTTGTTTTAAAAAATTTTTTAATTTATTTATCTTTAAATTGGAGTATAATTGCCTTACAATGTTGCATTAGCTTATGCAGCACAACAATGTGGATCAGCTTCATGCATACATACATCCCCTCACTTTTGAGCCTCCCTCCCACTCCCCCACACCCCGCTAGGTCATCACAGAACACCGAGCAGACATCCCTGTGATATACGGCAGCTTCCCACTAGCTCTCTCTTTTACAGACAGTAGTGCATGTCAAACCAGCATTTTCTGATTGACGCTATGCGGAGGAGAAGTCCTCAGCCGCGGCGTCAGGAACTGAGCCTGGATAGGAATGGAAGGTGGTGGAAGGGGTGGCTATATTGGCATAATGGCCAGAGTGGCTGGGACAGCCAGCTCAGCCAGAGGAGTTAAGGTTAAAGCAACATATCCTCCCTTTTATTTCTTTATCTTCCCTGATAATAGTACAAACGCTTGCACATAAAGGATTTCATCAGCCTTGCCTGCTTTTTCACAAAATAGCTATAGAGTTATTCAGAAGCCACTGTAAAACACATGGACAGCAACTGATCATCTAACCATTAAAAGGATGCCTTTTTGCTTCGGCATCAACCAACTGGGATTACAAAGCAATTGAAGAGAAAATCGATTACTGCTGTGGCTGTGATAATTACTAAAATTATGACATCATTTACCAGAGTATACCAGAATTTTAGCAGTTCCATACAATTTCTACAATACGTATGTTAATAATGTTTACCCATGATATAATCTAAGAAATTTTTACCATCACTCATTTGACAATGCCTCCCATGCAATTCAACACACCAGATAAGCCCAATTAGCTTTTCTGATTAGTAATACAGATTTATTTTTATTAACTTTTATTTTATATTGGAGTATAGCCAATTAACAATGTTCTGATAGTTTCAGGTGGACAGCAAAGGGACTCAACCATGTGTATACATAGTTTAATATTTCTCTGAGATGCAGAGAAAACAACTGGAAGTGTTCCAGGGATCCTTTGAAAAATCCCAAAGTTAGCTAGAGGTCAAATGAACCCCACTTAGAACTTGATCTTGGAGACGTTAGTCAGAAATATCAAAAAGAAATTCTAACCAGTGATAATAAAAGATCTGTGGCAAACAGAGATCACTTAAAAGCAGTTCAGTATTTTAAGAAAACTTTGTCCTCTTAGAGAATCAAATCCAGGTTTTGTACCACTTTAAGATTTTTAAAATTACGTTCAATCTTATCTTAGGACTTAAGTTTCAAGTTACGAAAATCTGGAGAGACTGTTCTAGACAGACATTCCCAAGACATTATTCCCATAGAGTTTACCCCAAACTCTTTACTTCATTTACATTTTATTTACTTAAAAGCTTTAGCACATTATTTTTCTTGCTAACAAACTTCGTAAGAGGAATAATAAGGCTGTATTTGACTTCCAGTAAACCTAGATACAATAAAAGTATTATACATAATGTTGTTTGTTATTATTTAGTTTATTTGGCGGTGCTGGGTCTCAGTTGCACATGGGCCCAGCTGCTCCATGGGATCCCAGTTCCTGGACCAGGGATGGAACCTGTATCCCCTGCATTGCGAGCTGGATCCCCAACCACTGGACCACCAGGGAAGTCCCTATATTCAGTGTTGATGACTCAGAAACATCTGTATCGAGCCAACAAACTTAAGCTAACTTTCACACCAGATATTAATTCAATACTGAGTATTTCCTAGAGCTCATGAACCTGAAACCCATTCTGGTGAGTTTCTTTTATGTTTGAGTATTCAAACTCACTTAGTTTCCTTTAAGTGAATTAATCAGAGCTCTTGTACAAATCCATTATGGCAATGTCACACATCTGCAAACACCTGTACAAATACACAGGGACATAGCTCCCATTCCAAAATTTTAGTCATCAGTTAGGTACCACAATGTAAAAGCCATAAGTTATAAAAGAGATTGGATTCAGATTGGGTTTCTGGAAGAGAGGACAAATCAAGGTCACCTGTCTAGATGACTAAACGCTTTTACTAATATTAATGGAAAGGACACTTCTATTTGTAGCTTTCGGTGACATTAGGAATCAAGTGAAACGTTTCTCTCCTCCTTCAGAATGCCCGCTTCTGGACAAGAACAGACAGTTTTGCTTTCTTTTCTTCCCTCTTTCCTCCATTTGATATCAGTCAAGTTTTAAAATAGTGAAGTCAGAAAGAGAAACACCAATACAGTATATTAACGCATATATACGGATTTCAGAAAGACAGGAACAACGATCCTATATGCGAGGCAGCAAAAGAGACACAGATGTAAGGAACAGACTTCTGGACTACGTGGGAGAAGGTGAGGGTGGGAGGATATGAGAGAACAGAACTGAAACATGTACATTACCATATGTAAAGCAGATGACCAGGGCAAGTTGCATGCATGAAGCAGGGCACTCAAAGCCCGTGCTCTGGGGCAACCCAGAGGGATGGGGTGGGGAGGGCGTTCAGAATGAGGGGACACATGTACACCCATGGCTGATTCATTTGATGTACAGCAAAAACCACAATATTGTAAAGTGATTATCCTCCAATTAAATAATTTTTTAAAAAATCACAAAACTGATCTGGCTGCAAGTGGAGGAACAGTACC